TGGGGTACCCTAGAGGTGTATATGTGCAATGTGTGTTATGTTCAGTTATTTTTGTCTTTTGTGTAAGGTTTGCTAACGTTTTGTTATTAGTCTTGTCATACAATCCTAATTACTAACGGTTAATATATATTGCTAAAATTTAAAGTGCGAAAAGATAAATCTATGCTATTACAGGGCTTTGGGGATTAATTACATGTCCAAGAATAAGGGGAATAAAGCAGAAAATAAAATCCTAATTATTCTATTATAACCCTCGAGCAGTTACAATAATATGAAAAAAATGCAAGAATACATAAATGCGCGAACAAATTGAAATAGACGTCTAAATCCTAAGGAAAAGTAATCTTTTTGTTTGTTTTTTATTTATAAAAGAAAATAAAACTTAAGTCTATTTAATTTTAAATTAAGGGAAAAGTTAAAATAATTAATTAATTTGTTTACAAAATTAACTTAATTAGAAAAATACTAGCCTAATGTTTTTTTATGATTTTTTGATTTAAAGTTGAAATAAAGAGAAGTCAATGAAAACAAAAAAATAAAAATACAAGGGCATCCTTCGATCCAGGGAGAAAAATGGGCTTTTCGATCCAGAGGGGGAAGCTGCCTTTCGATTCTGAGAAGGGTGTTATTTTCTTCGATCCAGGAGGGAACTGTCTTCTTCGATCCATGAGGGAAATGTGCTTTTCAATTCATATCTGTAAGACAAGCATTAGAACAATAAAGATACAGGACCTGGGTGTTGAACCCAGGTCCTTTGATCCTGTACGCGCTGGTCTGCTCAGGCTTGGTCTACAGTACAAGCGTTAGAAACAAAACAAATGCAGACCTGGGTGTCGAACCAGGGTTCTTAATCTTGAATACAAACCGAATGAGTTACAAGTGTTAATGTATCATGCAAAATGTAAAGTTAGATATTTTTACCAATTCTTACCAATGGTGATGGATGAATCTGTGGCTTCAGGCGTGTGTACCCATGTTTAAAGATTGCTTCGATTTGGCACTTCTAGATATGGGGATACTTGCTTAAGGGCTGAGGATGATTGGAAAAGCCTCAGGAAACCTCCAAGAATGTGTTTTTAATTTCTTGTGACTCTCTCTCCGGTTGTGTCCAGCCTCCTTTGATATGGCTAGTGCGTTCTTTATATAGACGGGATGGAGGGGACAAGAGAATAAAGGTTTAAACAGCCATAAACAAGTGTTTTCAAAGCCATGAATGATATTTTGTAACTTTTCCAAAGTCATGGAAACTTGTCTCTTTTTTGAATTTGAATGAATGTGGACAATTTTGGCTTTCGAATGATCAATTGGCTTGGTGGTGAAGGAGGCGTGCATGATGCTGGAGGGCCTGGGTTCGATTCCAGGAGTCTGTGTTTTGCATTTTCTAACAAATTTATTTTAGATCTAGCGCACGCAAAGGTCAGCAAGCATATGATACGCCTCACATATGGGCTATCCAAATCTAAGATTCTAAATCCAACGCTCCCAGTGGCTAGGGACTATGGTGTACCCTAGGGTGCATTCTCCACCAGATTGAACGCAGGATTCTGGGCTGCCTCTTATTGGGCGGCCTAAGCGAAATTTCAGATGCATACCACCTATTTGCTTTAGACATCAGGCCCAACTTGCTTCTTTTTATTTTTTATTTTTTATCTGTTTTATCATTTTCACTTAATCTTTTTTTCATAATAACATAAAATCAAAAACGATAAAAAATAGTAGACTTAGATTTTTTTAAATTAATTTAATTTTCATAAATTAATTAAATTAATTATTTTGACCTTTATTTAATTAATTTAAAATCAATTAGACTTAGATTTATTTCATTCAAATCTTTCTTAATAAAGTACAAAAAAATATTAGAATTAGTTTTCTTGTATTTATTTAACTAATTAGGATTAAATTTAGTCTCCCTCATTTTAATTTTAAGTATTTTCTTAATAAACAAAACCAAAAAAGATTTATTTTATGTTTACGTAGCAATTTCTTAGGGTTTTAGACGTCCGTCTCTATTTCGCACGCATTATCTTATTCTCACATTTTTATAATAATGTACCTACTGACAGTATGTAATAGATTAAACTAGGACTCTATCGTTTTCTTTATTTTCCTCCCAACTTTTGGACATGTAAATACCCCCTCCCCGAAGCACTGTAATAGCGTAGGATTTACAATTCTCGTATTTTTTATTGTTTCATATTAACTGCTAGATATATGACTAATAGGATTGTATGGCAAAGATTAAAATCAAAACGCTAGCAAACCTAACAAAAAAGGATAAAAATAACTGACTATAACACACATTGCACATATACACCTTTAGGGTACCCCACTTCGGTTGCCTTCGGAAAATAGTTAGAACTCTCGAAACATGAGAGGTTTTAGAGGCTACCCTCTGGTTCAAAAAGATCATAAGTTCCTCGATGACCCTCTCGACGCTGCCTCGGTAAAAATATGATCTTAGAACCCTAGGGTAGTTACTAAAGCTTCTTGCCCAATTGCCTTTGTGACTATAAAAACGTCCATTCGAATGTCCCTCAAACATCCAACGACTAGGGCTACCTACTCACTAATAGTAGGATATCACTGTCCAAAGTAAAAAAAAGGAAAATAACAACCTTTCGAGTAAAGTAGATAGCTGTTAGATGCTTTCTCAAACAATTTTTACACATACACAAAACTCTTTCAAAAAAGTTTTCAAAAAATACTTTATCAACACTCTTGAGGACTGATACAAGAGTTACCATAAAGCAAACTGCCTCACTATGGCATTTCAAAATACTTTTCAAAAAACACAAGATATTTAAAAAAAATGAGCTAAGCATCTAAGAGCCCGTAGATAACTACGAATGGAAAGGGTGCTAACACCTTGCCTTTCCATAATCTATCTCCTTACTCAGAAAACTCTCGAAAGTTCTTTTTCTGTTCTTTTCACTCTTTTCTTTGTTGGATAAAATAAAAGTCGGTGGCGACTCTTGCTTACCGCAAAATTTGCAAATACAAATGCAAAACCAATATAACAGTCGGTTCTGCCACCATATCACAGAACTGGAGACTCTGTTGGAGAGTTACTTATAAAATGAGGTTACCTTAGAGCTTATGTCATATTTAATTTGTTTTCCTTGTATGCTATGATTGCTTTATCTTAAAGGGTTTTGCTTGGGTTTACTTGTAAAGATCATACACCCGGATCTGGGACACCTTTTAGGTGAGTAGCAATAAATCGCGGAGACTGACGATAGAGGTCCTAAAAGAATTGACGATAGAGGTAGAACCCCCATTGAAATTATACTGTGACAACAAGGTAGCTATAAGCATAACTCATAATCCGATTCAATATGATCGTAAAAAACATATTGAGATCGACCGCCATTTTATCAAAGAAAATATAGACTCTGGTTCTATCTGCTTGCCATTTATCCCTTCCATTCAACAGACCGTTGATATATTGACCAAAAGCATGAGAAGAACAACATTTAAATACTTGATCAACAAGTTGAACATGACTAACATCTATGCACTAATTTGAGGGGGTGTTGAAATATTTCCTATTTAGTGTTATTTATTATCTTATTTAAGAGTCATTATATTACTCCTAAAATAAAGGAGTTGATTTTGTATTTTCTCTCCTATAAAAGGAGTCCCTTTTTCCTTCATAATAAAATAACAATTGATTATCATCCATATGCTTCTCTACAAATATATTTTATAGTATCATAAATTTATGTTAAAATATTATACTATCTTATTATTTTAATTTTCATATAGTATGACATATAATTGATTTTTTCCACAACCTAATTTGATAATGAAAAATATTTTAATTTAATGAACTAAAGAAGAAACATTAAAAACAATTTTTTTTAAAAATTAATGAGATAAATTTATTTAACTTGCAAAAAATTAATAATAATATTTCAAAAAATCCTCAAATTATGTTTTAATTGATCCCTACTTTTGTTACCTTTATTTGAGCAATCAAATTAAATAATTTAGAAAACAAAACTATAGAATAATATTTTAAAAACCGAATTAGAAAAAGAACCATTTTAACATACGGGTTAAGGTTTAATCAGTTTAATCAGTTAAATTGTAATTGGACTGTATATGAAATTTAAATTAAGAAAATAAATAAATATATTATTAAATATCTTAATACAATTAATTTATATTATAATTTGTAAAATAAAATTCTCAAATAAATATAATACTAATAAATAAGCTTACAAAAGAAGAAGAATGTAATGTAAGACTCAATAACAAATCATAAAATTAGTTAAGGACCAATGTTTATATATTTGTCCTAATTGCTTAACTCAAAGCTACAAGTTTTTCATTAGTATAATTTTTCACATCTCTTCCAAGACCAATATCAAGTACCCGATATCCATAAACATTACATTATTTCGTCTCTTTCTATTTGTATTTACATTGTCTCATGTCTTCCAATTTTATTCTTTATTTTTCATCTATATAATTTAAATGTTTGCTATATTTAATTTTTTAGATTTAAACAAAGAAATAAAATGAAGTACAATATAAAAAAATTATCGTTGATTTTTTGAACTGTCTTGTTCACCAAAACTGGTCCTGATTTTAAGATTTTTTTGATTTTTTTGCGATTGAAGCAATTTTATCTAAATTTTATAGACTTAACTGTTTATTGGTATAAACAGAACCGAATTAGACAATGATTTGAATCAGTTCAACCAACTGATTCAATCCGATTTTTAAAACATTGATATGGAATGGGTATGGTAATAGTTTGTCGTGTTTAGCATTGGTTGTAGTATATAGATATCATGAGCCCATCTTGGCCTAATTTTTTAATGCTAAATGTACCACTACTACTAGTAATAAATAATATCTTGAGAATTTTTTTTGTCAATCATTATCATTGATTGTAGTTTAAGAAAACTTTCATTTTGGTTTTTGTTTCAATCATCAAAAAAAAAACTTACAGAAGAACTTGAAAATAATTTGTGATTGTCGTGAGAGGAAATATGACAAGAAGATGGTCTTTTTACATGGATTTTCTGCCAGTTGTTGTGATTATAGGCAATGAATTTATTGACATGGGTTTACTCACTTTGTTTAAAGCAGCAACACTTGAAGGAATGAACAATCATGTCTTTATTGCATATGCTTATGCTTTTGGTACTTCTGTTCTTCTTCCTCTCACTCTTTTCACCAGAAGGTTCACAATTGTTTATTTATTGCAATATTTCAATATCATAAACAAAAAAACATATGTATATAATTTAGTGCATGTTTGAATTCACGGTGAGTTCGACAAAATTATGGCGTGTTATTGTCACTTTGTCAAACTGACATGATTCCAAACATGCACTTAATACTTATAAAAAATATTTCATGTTTTGCTTTGGTGTCTCTTTGCAGATCAAGAGTGGTTTCTCCTCCACTCAGTTTCTTCATAATATGCAAAAGTTTGCTTCTTGGGGCGATAGGGTAATCACAAATTAACCTTATACTGTTAACTTGACAACAGTGATTAAATATTATTAAGGCCTTTTGAATCTGATTATGCAGGTGTGGATCTCAGATTTTGGGGTATATTAGTATTAATTATAGTTCTCCAACACTTGCTTCAGCAATTGCTAATTTGGTACCTGCTTTCACTTTCATGCTAGCTGTCACTTTCAGGTTTGATAATTTAATGTTTTTACTCATAGAACTTTGGCTTACTTTTGTTGCAAGTAAATTGTCATTTTGATCCTGAAATATGTGAAGCATTGTCAAAATCTATGAAGCACGGACACCTCTAGGATCATACATCTGATATATACGTCAATGTTCAGACACCTATATGACACTCATACATATGTGAAATTCTGGCTGCAGATACTCAATGTCACGTTTAATGTTATGACACCGTATCTGACTTTCTATAAGACAGTAAATACAAAAACAGTAAAGAACACAGTCAATTGTTTACCCAGTTCAGTGTGCAACAACACCTACTTTGGGGGCTACCAAGCCAGGGAGGAAATCCACTATAAGAGATGTTAATTCAGGAATAAACCAACCAGTTTATCTCCTTTACTTAAGACCTACCCAATGCAATTTCAATCTAAGTACAACTTAAACCTGAGTTCCTACTCACTCCCCCTCAATCACAGCAGTGATACATAAAACAATTTGACTAATGAATTGATGAAGACACTCTTCAAAAACATACACTTGATTAAGCTTCACAGCTTTTTAATCAAGCAACACAACCACTCTTGCTTCACAGCTTTGAGTGATACACACACCTAACTTGACTCTGCTTCACAGCTTTAGTCAAGAAACATTCAAACACTCTTGCTTCAAAGCTTTGAGTGCTACACAACCCTTACAATTAAAAACCTATTCCAAGTCACTTATCACAATGATAATTGCTTGAAGTACAATAATTAAACCTATACAGTTTTACAAATGATCTTCTGACCAAAAAGGGATTCCTTGCAAAACAGCAGCTCTGTTGAATATATAGCAGCTGCATCTTCAGTTAGGGTTTCCACAAAAAGTTAGGATTAATTCCATTTGACCTTAAGACTAGGTCACAGGACTTTATCAACCAGGTTAGGGTTGAGCTAGGTTAACCCAAAGAAAACGCAGGATGCTGTTCTGGAAAGACTGAGTCATTTTCCTGAAAAAACTCAGAATTAACCAAACTGCAAACCTGTTAGTTCAGAACAGGATGTCTTAACATCTGTTATGACATCTGAAAAAACCTGTCTACTGATTTAGGAAAATGTGATCATTTTGCAAAATGCTCAGATACACATTTATAAACATCAGTACCTGAATGACAATATTTTTCTGCAAAGGTACCTAATGAATCAGTACAAACTAAACTAGAATGTTATGACATCAGTCATGACATTCACACATACACTTGGGTTTTACCAAAAATGCAAGCCAATAACTAAACAACTACAAACTCCCCCTTTGGCAGATTTTTGGCTAAAGACCCTAAGTAATCAGAGATAGATAGCAGCAGAAAGAAATGACTGCAGAAAAATAGAATTTCTAATTAAGCAAGTACCAAAATATTCTCCCCCTCTTTAGCCACAAATGGGCCAAAGATACATGTTCATAAAAATTATACAGTTATCCAGAAAAAGTAATAAGAGCAGCAGCAGAAAAAAAACTGAACACACTTTCAAACTCCACCAGGTACCAGCACCAACCAGCAATACCACCAAACAGCAACCAACCTTTAAGCACTGTCATCAGACTCAGAGGAGCTAGTTTCTTCAATATTGAGATGACCTTCAGCTTCTACACCTTCTTCCCTTCTGTTTCCTTCAGCTTCCTCCTTTTCTAACCTGGCAATTAGGATTTCTAGGGTCTTTTTCCTAGCATCCAGCTCTTTGCAGGTCTCTTTTAAAACAGCTATGACATCAGATGTCTTGGACTGGTTCTTCACAGACGATGTCTCAGCTGATGTTATGACAATATCTGGAGCATGAGATCCCTGAAACAGTTTGTAGTGCAAGCCAAGGGCAGGAGCTCTTTTGCAGGCTGTATCTCTTGCCACCAGGATATCAGGGTATTGTGCAAGGATAATTCCACAAAGGAGGGAGGGAAAGGCAATTGGTCCTTTGACAGCATAACTACCAGCATGTTTTAAAGTTTGTTCAAAGATATACCTGCCATAGTCAAAAGCAGTCTTGGTTCCCACAGCATAAATAAATCTCCCCAATCCTGTGGAGATAGTTGATTTATGGTTTGTAGGCACCCAGTTGGCTGCACCAATCTTGTGCAGGATGGAAAATTTCATGCTGAGTTTGCTGGCATTCAGCTTGCCTTTCAAGGGCCAGCACTTCACTTGCCTTGCTGTGATGGTTTGACAAACTTCATTGTTAGTGACCTCCAGATCAGGACAATCCTCATTTGTTCTTCCAAGAAATTTGTTAATTTCTGATGGAGAGAACTTGACCCTTCTTCCTCTAACAAAAACACTTTCAAAGTCAGCTGACCTTCCATCAGCACAATCATTAGACAAGTTCACTATAAACTCCTTGACCAGATTTTCATAACACTTGTTAAATTTTATCATTGTCTTCATCAGTCCAGCATTCTTGATCAGGTCCATGATGTCTTTGTACTCCATGGCATCATTGTTGAGTTCTCTTTCTAAAGCTATTCTCTTTAAGCAAACATACTTCCATCTGTTTGCATTGTCAGGATGATGAAAAGAGATGTTGTCTGTTGGGACTTCAGGAACTCTAGCAATTTTGCTGGAGGGGAGCTTCCTTCTGATAGGAATTTCTTCAGCATCAATCTCAAATTCTGATTCCTCATCAGAATCAGAAGATTCAGGTTCTTTTCTCTTCTTTGAAATTGGTTGTCTAGCAATATGCACCTGGGCCTTCTTCCCTTTGGTCTGAATAATTTTCACAGATTCTACCTCAGCCATGCCTTCAGCCTTGGATTTCTTAACAGCAGGTTTATCTTTGGACACACATTTTGCATCATTCTGATTACCCTTTCTTTTCATCAATCTCCTAGCTATGCTAGGGTTTACATTGGCAATCAGATCATTATCTGAGTAATCCTCATCCACATCAATGATAGGTGGATCAACAGTCTTTTCTGAAGGGTTCTGAATGTTGTCATTTTGTGTCACAACATTCTCAGAGACATCTACATTCTCAGAGAGGTCCACATTTGGGCTTCCTAATTGATTTAAAGGGACATAAATCCCCGGTACAGGTTGGTTTCCGCTAAGTATACTAGTAACAAGCCTAGCAATAGCTTGATGAACTTGAACTGATCCTTCTCTATTTGGTACAGAAGAAGAAGGATGAGAAGGATTACCAGAGGCTGCAGCTTGAGCTCTTCCTGCATGTCTAGTTCTTAGCTTTTTGACTTTGGCTGGGTCAGTTGCCATCTCTCTGAGAGGAGTGACCTCAATAACTTCAGATTCTATGCATGTGGTGATTGCTTTAGAGTCTTGGTCAGATGATGAGGATGATGAGGATGATGAAGTCGCCTTGGTTGAAGATGATGTCTGAGACATTTTGATTGACTTTGAGCACCAGTAGCAATTTGAGAAAAAACTTTGATTGAGAGGAGGGAACAGGTTACAAAGACGAGAGAGGTAGGAGGCAAACGAGAGTCTTTTCAACTTCTTAAGGATTTTGAAAGAATTGGGAAAACATATGATTAACCCACTAAAAATAGACTTAATAAAATTAACTCCTTCAACCCTTGTTTTAAGCAAAATTAATTGCTATAATTTCTCATGTTGGTAAATACCCAACCTGCCCCTCAAGTTTTCAAGTTTATTTCCAACAAGAGCCTTGGTAGAAGAATCAGTCAGCTGAAGCTTAAAGATACCATGTTCCAGTTTAAATGACTTCTTCTCTACAAAGTCAATGTGCTTGGTCCTGTTATGCTGAATAGGGTTCATGGAAATATTGATTGTATTCAGATTGTCACAACACAATGTCACAACATCTTGTGAGACATTATACTCAGTGAGCATCTGTTTTGACCAGATATTTTGAGAACAGTTATTCCTAGCAGCAACTATTTCCGCACAGAGTTGGGAAGGCATTCTTTTGATATGAATCATAGTTCTGGTTGATTCTTGAATGATTTTCTTTTTGTCCACTCCATTTTGATGGAGAGTTATGGGAGAGGAGACTTCACGCCTCATTTCTTCAGGGAAACAGAATTTATTAGACTTGTTATTTCCAACATCCTTGTCATGATAACTTATGGTTCTGACAACACATCCTTCTTCAAGTTTATTTGCCACATCATAGACATTATCAACCTGTAGTTTTGGAGTCCTTCTGACTGCTTCCATAGAGATAGCTCTTTTCATTCTTCTTAGATGAAGATGACCAAGCTTATGCTGCCACAGTTTCATCTCTTTTTCTTCTTTGGTAATTGGACACATAGTGGAGTTATTAGTGTTCTCAGGCTGCCACAAGTAGCAGTTATCTTTGGATCTGATTCCTTTCATTACAACTTCTAGTTTTTCATTAATTACTAGACATTCAGATTTTGAGAAGTTGACCTTGAATCCTAGATCACATAATTGACTGATACTAATGAGATTAGCAGTCAGCCCCTTTACCAGCAAGACTTCACTCAGTCTTGGAACTTCAGGGCAGTCCAAATTACCAACTCCTTTGTTTTCACCTTTAGCACCATCCCCAAAGGTCACATAACTAGTGTTGTGAGGTTTGACATGATTGAGAATGTTCTTTATTCCAGTCATGTGTTTAGAGCAACCACTGTCAAAGTACCAGCCTTCCTTTGCAGACACTTTCAGGGAAGTATGGGCTATCAGGGAAGTATGGGCTATCAGGGCAGTAGCCTTTTTCTTCCAATGAGGAGTATGTGGTACCTTTTTTGGCTTAGGTTTAGCACCTGCGTTTTAATTAGGGTATCCATGCAATTTGAAGCAGAAGGGCTTTATGTGTCCATACCTCCCACAATGATGACATCTCCATCTTTGGTATTTTTTCTTCATGTATTTCTGATGTTGAGAGTTGTGTTGAGACATCTGCTTTGACAATTGTTTAACATGCCTGATCTTCTTGTCTGCACCAGATTTCTTAGCTTCCACAAATCCTAGACCAGATTTGTTTCCCACATTTTGTCCAACTTGAAGAATCTCTTCCAATTTATCTGATCCATTGGTCAACATCTTGATAGATTTTGTCATTTGGTTCAGTTGTGAGTTCAGTAATTGAACTTCCCCTTCTAGGTGACTTATGGTTTCAAGATCTGCCCTTTTTTCAGCCTCCAGCTTTATAATGAGTTTTGATTGTTTCTCATTCTGCACACAGACTTCAGCACTTCTGATACACAATTTCTTGTAGGTATCAGCCAGTTCTTCAAATGTCACTTCTTCATCACTAGTGTCACTGTCAGAGGTACAAACACTAGTTAGAGCAGTAACTAGTTTGGCAGATTCTTCTTCAGAATTACTTTCTGAATCACAGTCAGACCAAGTAACAGTCATTCCTTTCTTTTGTTTCTTAAGAAAGGTAGGACATTCAGCTCGAATATGTCCATATCCTTCACAGCCATGGCATTGAATGCCTCTGCCTTGGTTTCCCTTTTCTTCTGACCTTGGTCTTCTGCTGGAATTGTCAATGTCAGAGGGAATGTTATGAACATTAGACCTTGACTTTGGATCCATTCTTTTGATGAGCTTGTTGAACTGTCTTCCAAGCATGGCTATAGCTTCTGAAATATTTTCTTCTTCATCCTCCTTGTTTTCAACATCAGTGTTGGATACAAGTGCTATGCTCTTGTTCTTCTTGTCACCATTATCAGTGATCCCCATCTCAAAAGTCTGAAGAGACCCAATAAGTTCATCCACTTTCAACTTGCTGATGTCCTGGGCTTCCTCTATGGCAGTAACCTTCATTGCAAATCTTTTAGGTAAGGATCTGAGAATCTTCCTTACCAGTTTTTCTTCTGACATCTTTTCTCCCAGTGCTCCTGAGGTGTTGGCAATCTCCAAGATGTTCATGTGAAACTCATGAATGGTTTCATCTTCCATCATTTTTAGATTCTCAAACTTGGTAGTCAACATCTGAAGCCTTGACATTTTTACTTTGGAAGTGCCCTCATGAGTAGTTTTGAGAGTGTCCCAAACTTCCTTGGCCAGTTCATATTGATGAACTAGTCTGAAAATGTTTCTATCAATTCCATTGAACAAGGCATTTAAAGCTTTGGAATTTCCCAGGGCTAACTCATCTTCTTCTTTACTCCAATCTTCCTCAGGTTTCAGACTGATTGTCCCATCTTTCTCAGTTATGGTGGGATGGATCCATCCTTTGTCAGCAGCTCTCCAAGCCTTTTTGTCCAGAGATTTTAAGAAGGCAATCATACGAGGTTTCCAGTAGTCATAATTAGTTCCATCCAGAATGGGTGGTCTATTTCCAAAAACTCCTTCTTTGTCCATAGTGCCAGAAAGTGATATCCCTAGATCTCACCCAGTAATACAGGCAGGGTGCCTGCTCTGATGCCAATTGAAATTCTGGCTGCAGATACTCAATGTCACGTTTAATGTTATGACACCGTATCTGACTTTCTGTAAGACAGTAAATACAAAAACAGTAAAGAACACAGTCAATTGTTTACCCAGTTCAGTGTGCAACAACACCTACTCTGGGGGCTACCAAGCCAGGGAGGAAATCCACTATAAGAGATGTTAATTCAGGAATAAACCAACCAGTTTATCTCCTTTACTTAAGACCTACCCAATGCAATTTCAATCTAAGTACAACTTAAACCTGAGTTCCTACTCACTCCCCCTCAATCACAGCAGTGATACATAAAACAATTTGACTAATGAATTGATGAAGACACTCTTCAAAAACATACACTTGATTAAGCTTCACAACTTTTTAATCAAGCAACACAACCACTCTTGCTTCACAGCTTTGAGTGATACACACACCTAACTTGACTCTGCTTCACAGCTTTAGTCAAGAAACATTCAAACACTCTTGCTTCAAAGCTTTGAGTGCTACACAACCCTTACAATTAAAAACCTATTCCAAGTCACTTATCACAATGATAATTGCTTGAAGTACAATAATTAAACCTATACAGTTTTACAAATGATCTTCTGACCAAAAAGGGATTCCTTGCAAAACAACAACTCTGTTGAATATATAGCAGCTGCATCTTCAGTTAGGGTTTCCACAAAAAGCTAGGGTTAATTCCATTTGACCTTAAGACTAGGTCACAGGACTTTATCAACCAGGTTAGGGTTGAACTAGGTTAACCCAAAGAAAACGAAGGATGCTGTTCTGGAAAGACTGAGTCATTTTCCTGAAAAAACTCAGAATTAACCAAACTGCAAACCTGTTAGTTCAGAACAGGATGTCTTAACATCTGTTATGACATCTGAAAAAAACCTGTCTACTGATTTAGGAAAATGTGATCATTTTGCAAAATGCTCAGATACACACTTATAAACATCAGTACCTGAATGACAATATTTTTCTGCAAAGGTACCTAATGAATCAGTACAAACTAAACTAGAATGTTATGACATCAGTCATGACATTCACACATACACTTGGGTTTTACCAAAAATGCAAGCCAATAACTAAACAACTACAATATGTGTTAGAAAATTCATACAACTCAAAGAACTCTTGATACTTGTTAGTCTTTGAAAAAACGGTAAGACTAATTTACAAACTCTACCACATATGCACTCATTGAACTACTTTCCTTGCACTCAAGGAACTCTTGAAACTTGTTAGTGTGTGAAGAGAGGACATGCCTCATTTACAAACTCTACTATAGTCATAAATGATAACTTTGTTTCCTCTTATCTCTTTGCAATTAAGGATGGAAAAGTTAGTTATAAAGAGTAGAAGTAGTAATGCTAAGGTAATGGGAAGCATAATATCAATAGTAGGTGCTTTTGTATTGACTTTCTACAACGGACCATCAATCTGGAATTCCTCTTTACTTGATCAACCAAATGATTTTCTCAAGTCAGTGGATTCAAGTTGGGCCATTGCTGGCATTCTGCTAATAGTGGACTATTTTCTGGTTTCTCTGTGGTACATTTTACAGGTAGGTAGGATTAGTATTGTGCGAAATGAGAGATTATACTTAAATACCTGAAATGCATAAGTTTTATGATAGACATACACAGACAGAGACAATGAACACAATGCTAACACGTAAACATCAGTAATAATTTGAGAAAATGAAAGTGATTGACTGTAACCACATATGTCAGTGTTATACACCCACACATCTTAAAATTCGATTTGAAGTGTTGATGCTACATATAATACATAAAATTTAGCCCTAAACATTTTCTGTTCATATATGAATATATAACTATATTTATTTAACAGGTACATATCTTGAAAGAGTTCCCAGATGAAGTAACTTTAGTCTTGTTATACTCCACAACTGCAATAATCATATCAATAGTTGTAGCTTTGTTATCAGTTCCAAATGCAAGTGATTGGAAAATAGGACTAAATCTCTCACTCATCTCCATACTTTCTTCTGTAAGATACACTGCAAACTAATGCTACCCTTGGACCAAAATATATAAGCTCTTAAGTTTGAGCAGTTCATTAATGACACATTTCTTTTTCTAGGGAATTTTTGGAAAGTTTATAGGCAATATAGTTTCTGCATGGTCAATTCACTTAAAGGGAGCAGTTTATGTTACCTCATTCAAGCCACTTCAAATTGTTATTTCTGTTGCTTTGGGTGTTATATTCCTTGGTGATTCTCTTTATGTTGGAAGGTATGGTAATGTTCATGTGGAAACAATTGCACTTAGACTCCCCTTCCATGTTTACCTTGTTAAAGTGTTAAATTATGTATATTCTTTCTGCAATTTGTAGTATAATTGGAGCCACAATAATCTCAATTGGTCTTTATGGTGTATTATGGGGCAAAGCAACAGAAGAGATAGAGGAAGATATTGGTAGTTTGGAGTCACCTTCTACAGAGAATGCACATGCCCCTCTTTTGCAAAATTACAGAACTTAAACTTTTGAAAAGAAAATAGATAGAAATCTGTTGGAAATCTTGGAATGATGATAACTTGGATTGGGAATTGGAATGATTCATTGACATTAAATGGGCAATAAATGAGCACATGAATGAACTAGTTTGTGAGTGAATTTGAAAGGATTCATTTTAGTCCCACATTGGAGGGAACACAACTTCTAGTAGTGCATAAATACTCCAACTTGGACACTTGGGTTGGGCCCCAAGGGGCACCCCAATTTTGTTAAGGAGTGAGGACACACCACTAAGTCATCTAGACACACACGCGCGTGCGCCGCCACCGCCGTCCGGCCGGCCGGCTCGGCTCGGTTCGGTTCGGTCTAGATGAATTAACTTTTTGAACCGGATTTTGGTGAAAAATTAATTATTAATGATTATTAATAATTAATTAATTCGGTGGAATTAATTAGCATTAATTAATTAAAAATAGTGGAAATTAATTAATATTTAATATTAATTAATTACAGAATTAGTGACGTGTCAATTACTTGCCTTCCAAGAGTCAAAACGCATGACTGCATGACTGTCTGACCAAGCAATAACGGTCACTTTTGACTGGGCCAATTCCACCCTCTCCCACGTTCTTCCTACTTTTTCGAACCGTTTTGTTGGATTCGTGCTTATTTCATTCGAAATAACTCCAGAATTCCAGATCTAGAATTCTCTCTTCTCTCTCTCTACTCTGCTTTATCTCAAGTTTTTTTTCTTTTCTGTTTTTTCGACTGCTTCTTGCCAGATACTACGAGTGGTTTCTACACCATCAGAAGGTGTTATTCATCGAACGATTTATCACAGTGCAAGTGATAATCGTATTTTATTCGAACGGGCTGTTTTATCCTGGAGACGTCACCTATTATCGACTGCCTTGCACTTTGTTGGCATCCGGCAAAACGTCTTAAAGAAAGCGTACTGAACCGCGACTCGACCCGATAAAATTCTCAGTGGCTATTCTTGTTTTCACTAATCCGTGAACAACAATTTTAAGACGATCGCCTTAACTGCCATGGCTACTGAGGAAATTATCGGTAATAATGCGGTCGCTGCTGTCACTGACAAACCATTTAAGTTTAAGGGTTCTCATTTCAAACGTTGGCAAGCTAAGATGAAATTTTTCTTAACTATCAAGAAGTGTGCCCACGTTCTGACTGAGGATATCCCTGTTGTTCCTTCTGGATCAACCGAACAAACTGATGCTGCAACAATTGTAACTTCTGACAAAGCTCCCAGCTCTGCTGAAGCACAAGCTGCTGCAAAAGCCAAAGCCACAGCAGATGATTTACAGCTTCGAAAAGAAATTTCCATATGGCAAGAGAATGACTACCTATGCAAAAATCACATTCTGAACGGTCTTGCTGATGACCTGTACGATTACTACAGTAATTACAACAGTGCTAAAGAAGTGTGGGAAGCTCTGCAGAAGAAATATGATACTGAAGAAGCAGGTGCAAAGAAATATGCTGTCAGCCGCTACTTGAATTACAAGATGGTGGATGAAAAGTCTGTGGAAACTCAAAGCCACGAAATTCAGAAAATTGCTCATGAAATCATAACTGAAGGTATGCCCCTGAATGAACAATTTCAAATTGCTGTTATTATTGACAAACTGCCCCCTGGTTGGAAAGATTTCAAAAATATGCTTCGCCATAAAACCAAAGAGTTTTCAATCGAAAGTTTGATTACTCGCCTCCGAATTGAAGAGGAAGCTCGAAGACAAGATCAGAAAGATGAAGTCTTAGTTGTTTCTAACAACAAAAAGAGATTCGGTGCGGTTCTGAAGCCTACGGGCAAACCATTAAAGAATCAGAACCGCAATGCTGTGAACCGAATTAAGAATGGGAATCCCTCTAGGGCCCCAAATGCTCCACTTGCTAGGCAGCAACCACCGCCACAGAGAAATGATGCTCCGGTTTTCACTTGCTACAATTGTGGGAAACCGGGTCACATGGCAAAAAGGTGTAAGAGCAGGCCTAAACCTGTTGTTGGCTCAAATGCTCAGGTTAACCTGACTGATGAGCAATTCATTGCTATGATCACTGAAGTCAACATGGTTGGTGGAAGTGATGGTTGGTGGATAGACACTGGCACCTCTCGTCATGTCTGCTACAATCGTGCTATGTTCAAAACATACATGAATGCTGAAGATAAGAAAGTGTTGTTGGGAGATGCTCACACCACTAAGGTTGCTGGAATTGGGGATGTTGAGCTGAAATTCACCTCAGGAAAGACTTTGATCTTGAAGGACGTCATGCACGTTCCTGAAATTAGGAAGAATCTTGTTTCTGGTTTTCTTTTAAATAAGGCAGGGTTTAGTCAAACTTTAGGGGCAGATTTGTACACCATCACTAAGAATGGTATTTTTGTTGGGAAAGGGTACGCCACTGATGGCATGTTTAAGTTGAATGTTGATTTTAATAAGATTTCTCCTTCTGTTTACTCTTTGTGTGATTTTAATATTTGGCATACTAGACTTTGTCACGTTAATAAGCGAATTATGCATAATGCAAGCAACTTGGGCCTAATCCCTAAATTAAGTATTAATGATACAAATAAATGTGAATATTATAGTCAAGCAAAAATAATCAAGACTTCGCATAAATCAATTAATAAGTGTTGTACCCCAAAATTTGCCCTCGCATTTTTCTACAAGAAATCTCAGCTTCAAGCCTGTCCTGACTTTTCAAACTGACTCAAGAATCGGACAAACGGACTTTTCTTGACAGTTAAGCAAAATTAGGGTTTTTACTGATTTTTAGGACTCTGGATTTGTTTCACAGTTGGCTTAGGGTTTGGATGATTTTTGGTTCAATTTTGATCAGGCGAGCGTTATTTGGCATTTAATCAAGAGTTAAAGTTTTTATGGGCGTATTCTCAGAAGAATTTAAATTCCACGGCACTTTGCAGTTTATTCCGAGATTCGGGTTAAAATTCGCGTTATCTTGATTTAATCAGTAAGAGGAGGCAGTTGGTTTGAATTCACCAGTCAAATGAGGTGTGCAGTGTGGAATTACAGCGCTTGGCAAAAGAATCAGTGAAAAAGGGGATTGCGTCTGATCAGTTTTTTGTGTTCGACTGCGCGTTGCTTTGAATGTTGGAAACGTCGAATTCATTTATTTTTGATCAACAATTGTTTAGTTGATTATTTATGGTTCTAAGAATTAAATACTTGAAATTTAAATTTCATTTTATTTAATTTAAGGAATTATAAATAACAAGTAAATAAAGAAAAGGAATTGAAAAGAATTAAATATAAATGGAATTTTTATTTCACATTTAATAGTTGTTACAATTGTTATTATTTGGATACGAGTATTTATTACAAAGTATTTAAAATAATAATAGTGTACAAAAATTAAATTGAAAATAAAAAAATTCTATCCTATTTCTAATTCTTCATTCTTCACTTCATTCCGGTGCTCCATTTTTTCATCTGCAAAAGAGAGAAAGAGGAAGTCAGAAAGCAGTTAAATTGGAAAAGACAGTTAAAATTTGCTCATCATTAGGGGCCACTGACTGGGATCAGTTGACCCTCTCTGCAAATCACGGGATTTCTCCCGGTTCACAAAGAGGGAAGAATTCCATTTTTATTCATGAATGTCAAAATGCATAATTTTTAAAAAAGGGTTCAAACTGCATAGTTCAAATCCAAGTCAAACTGAAAAAATCCAATTCCACTTTCCATCAAAAGCAAAAAGAGCAATTCACTGTCAAAAGTACAAGTCTACTCAAGGCTACCAAAGAGAGGTTTCGGCCAAGATATCAAGGAAAAGATAAAGTGTAGAAAGCTGTCAAAGAAAGAAAAGATGCAGAATAATGTGTTATGCAAGACTTAATCATCATTTCCCAGCATACAGGGGCCCCTTCAGAAAAGATAGTACAAGTAAAATCATATAATATTCAACTGTACTATAGAGTGAGAAGAAGAGAGAAATAGAGGCAGGTTTTGTAGGCTTTAGGTTTAGACAGTGCAGAAATAACAAGAAAAGATATAATCCAAGAGAAGCATCAATTCAGCATTATTCAAAACTGGGCAGAAGTACACAGCATAAGCAATTACCAAAAATAGAAAAGTGCCAAGAAACTTTGTAAAACTACCCAGCAAACTTGGATCAAAGAAAATACCAAGGTTTGAATAAATATTAGGCGCCAAAGACCAAGAGAAAGAGGAAAAAAAGAACAAAAGAAAATATACTGAGTTGAAAAACCTGATTGAGCCAAGCACCAATATCACAAAAATATATAATCTGCAAACAACATAACCAAGCCAAGCAGACATAAACCCACGACAAGCTCAAACCTGTCAAGGCCTAAACAAAAGCCAAAAAACAGAAACAAACCCTTTCAAGTTTCATACAAACCTGAAACATTTCACATAAACCTATCAAAGGCCAAACCTCACAAAATCTGAAGCTCAACCTCAAAAACATAACCTACTGCAAGCTTACCTACTGTCAAAAACCTCACCATATCAGTTTAACCAAAACACATACAAACACATAAACAAAACTTCCAAACCTGGCCTAACCATCAAACCTCATCAACCTGCATTAACCTCCAGAACCTGTAAAACCTCACCATACTGTCCAACAACATAACCAAGCCTGAAGCTGACCTGCTATCAAAAAAACCTCACCATGCCTGCCTCAACATACCAGCCATACACATAAAAAACCTGTAACCATGCCTTAAAGAACCTCTAGCTCATAAATCAGTTAAAGGCCAAACCTTTAAAACCTCAAACATTCCAGGCAATCATAGAAAAATCGCTCAAGCATCAAAAGTCTCAGAGGAAAACAAAATATTCAAAGGTAACCCACGAGCCCTCAGTATGAACATCATCGGGCAATAAATCGTTCAAGAAGGCAAACTCAACAGAAGTTCAAGGAAACACAAGGCAACATGAGTAGTAGAGAAGAAGAAAGCTAGTCAAAAATCGTTTCAACAGTAGCAATCTCAAAAGGCAGTTCAAGGGCCTCAGAAGC